AGGGAATGGGCCCAATGGCCACAATCAGTGATCAGTGCGAAAGCCACAATCCCTCATAATCTCTCTGGTTATTCCTGTTTGGTGACCTCCCAAGAGAAAACCAGTGTGAATGCTAAGCTGGAGGCGGGAGAAGCATCTGCTGTGACCTCTCTGTGACCCCAGTGCAGCAGCTCAGCAGAGATGAATTAAAGCGAGGAAGCCCTGTGGGCGGCAGGCATCAGGCTCCCTTGACGCCAACAGGCAGGTGGAGCAGGGAGGCAGATTGCTGCTGACAGTCATCCTCCCCCAGAAAGCCCCAAGCGGGGGGAGCAATCATCACAGCTGGGATAATAATGTTTACTCAACAGCTTTGTGTAAAGTTTCAACCCACTTTATTTCTGCCCTAGTGAATGTTCCTGAATTATCAATTAGAGAAATTACCATCACGATTCACAATTGCTAGCAAGAAGAGTCTAGGGCAGTTTGCAGAGGAGTAGTAGTAACCTGGCTAAAGTGCACAAAACAGGAAGTGGGAAAAGAGTGTCTCTGGGGAAGGCTGGTTTGCAAAGTCCCTTTCTCATCTCCTACCGCCCCGCCTTCCCAGTGGGCCCTCCAGCAGGTACTAGTCCCTAAGTCAGAGGGCTGTCATTTCCCAACTCAGAGACAATTTATGAGGGATCAGTTTAAAACAATCTGGACAATTTCCTGTGTCCACGGTGTCTTAGTCTATTTGTGCAGCTTTAACAGAACACCTGAGGAGGAGAAATTTATAAAGAAAAGAAATTTATTTCCTGCAGATCTGGAGGCTGGAAAGTCCAAGATCAAGGTCCCAGCCCCTGGTGAAGGCGTCTTTGCTGCCTTATCCCATCGCAAAATGACAAGAGAGCTCACGTGAGACGGAGGGAGAAACTGGGAGCTCTTTTGCTTCCGGCTTTACTGACGGATATGTAAATTTGTATATATTTAAGGTACACAATGCAATGATTTGATAGACAAATACACTGTGAAATGATTGCCACCACCAAGCTAATCAACATATCCATCACCTCACATAGTTACTTCTTATGTATATGTGTGATGAGAATTCTTAAGGTCTACTCTGTTAGTGAATCTCAAGAATATCATTATGCATTATGGTCATCATGCTGTACTCTAGATCCCAGAGCTTATCCATAACTAAAAGTTTATATCCTTTTGCCAACATCTCTGCGGTCCCCTATTCCCCAATGTTTAGTCACCACCATCCTATTCCATTTGTATGAGCTCAGCTGTTCCACATTCCACATAAAAGTGGGAAATCATGGGGTATTTCCCTCAGTGTAATGTCCTCTGGGTTTATCCACATCATCTCAAATGGTAGGATTTCCTTCTTTGTGTTCATCACCAGTGGGCACTTAGGTGGCTTCCCTATCTTGGCTGTTGTGAATCATGTTGCAAACATGGGAGGGCAGATATGGCTTCCAGATGCTGATTTCATTTGTTCTCTTTTAGATATAAAGCCAGAAGCCTGCTGGCTCACATGGTGGCTCTGTTCTTATTTCTTGAGGAGATTCCATGCTGTTCTGTAACCATTGACGTTCCAACGACAGAGTGTGAGGGCTCCCTCTTCTCCACATCCTCACCAACACTCCTCTGTCTTTTTTAATCGCTGCCATCCTAACAGGCATGAGTTGATGTCTCCTGACTTTGTTCTGCATTTCCTTGATGAATAATGACACTGAGCATCTTTTCATGTTTTCTTGCCCATTTGAATGTCTTTTTTTTTTTTTTTTTGAGAAATGTCTGTTTAGGTCCTTTGCCAGTTTTTAATTGGGTCATATTTTGCTATTGGGTTATATGAATTCCTTACGTAGTTTGGAAGTGTCCTTGGATATGTGGTTTGTAAATATTTTCTCACTCCATAGATTGTCTTTTCCAGTCATGGGCTGTTTGCTATGTAGAAGCTTTTTAGTTTAATGCAACTTCACTTGTCTGTTTTTATTTTTGTGTTCTGTACTTTTGTTGTCTACCTACGAAACGGTGGCCAAGGCCAGTGTCAAGATGAATTTTACTGTTTTTGTCTGGGAGTTTTGTAGTTGCAAGTCTTATATTTAAGTCTGTAAGCTATTTTTAGTTGATTTTTGGTGTGGTGTAGGAGAAAGGTCTAATTTCACACTTGTGTTGTGAATATCCACTTTCCCAGCACCACTGTTTATTCTTGACATCTTTGTCAAAGATCAGTTTATTATACATTAATAGGCTCTCTATTCTGTTCCATCGATCTCTGTGTCCTTTTTTATACCCACACCATACTGTTTGATTCCTTCTGTTTTGTAATATAATTCAAAATCAGGAACTGTGATAGCTCTAGCTTATTCTTCTTTTTCAAGATTGCTTTAGCTATTTGGGGCTTTCGTGTGGTTTCATATGAATTTTAGGATTGACATATATATATATATATATATATAAATGTTGATATATATATCTCAATATTAAAAATATATATTTTAATTATAGATGGACACAATATATTCATTTTATTTATTTATCTGTTTATGTGGTGATGAAGATCAAAACCAGGTCCCCATTCGTGCTAGGCAAGCACTTCACCACTGAGCCACAATCTCAACCTATTATTGATATTTTTGTGAAAGATACCACTGAAATTTGTATAGGGATGATAGAGACCCTTGGGTAGTGCAGCAGCTTTGAAAGTATGAAGTCTTCCAATTCATGGACATTGAACATCTTTGCATTTATTCGTGTCTTTTTTTTTAAAGAGAGAGAGAAGAGAGAGAGAGAGAATTTTAATATTTATTTTTTAGTCATTGGCAGACACACAATATCTTTCTTTGTATGTGGTGCTGAGGATCGAACCCGGGCCGCACGCATGCCAGGCGAGCGCGCTACTGCTTGAGCCACATCCCCAGCCCTATTCGTGTCTTGTTTCATCTCTTGTTTAAATTTATTCCTAAATATTTGATTTTTTTTAGTGGTATTGTAAACGGGATTATTTTATTTCTTTTTCAGATAGCTCATTGTTAGTGTGTAGAAGCACAATTGATTTTTGTGCATTGATTCTGTATCTTGAAACTTTAGTGAATTTCTGTGTTACCTTTAAGAGTTTTTGGTGGATAAAAGTTACCTATATTATTCTGTGTCCTTCCATCATGAGAAAAATAATGTGTTCCAAGAATGTTCTAGATGCAGCACTTGGGTGGATATTGGGTCCCCAGGGCTTCAGGTAGCCTCACTCCTGTGTCTTTGCTGACCTTGGTCCCCCCAGAAGCTCTCACAGATTGATGTCTTCTGCCCGCAGTTTCTGGCTGGAGTTGCTGCTGCTGGCCATTCCCGGGGCTCCACGGGCTCCACCTGGGCTTACAGGTGTCCAAAGGATACTAAAAGCATAGAAAAGTTGGGTGTCTCTGCCTTCATTTCACAACTGTCCTTTGCTATCCCATACTTTGGTCAGATTCTTCTCAAGTCTACAGGTAGACAATTACTGGCTCATGTGAAAGTGGCACTCCTCCCCCTTCAGGCTGAAGACACCAAGATAAGAGAAACTGAGATATTTTCAGGAACATCATGATCAACAAATTGTCCACTGCCTACTTTTACAAAGTCTTGGTCCACACCACGGGGGTGGCACCTGGACATCCCTGTCATTGCCCTGCACCTGAAGGAGGACTCAGCCATTGTCCTGACTCACTCCATCTTGCCTTTCTGACTTACTCTTTCTCCAAGTCATTCTCTCCTGCAGTCTCCTTGGAGTCCATGAACAATAGGTTTGACGATAAATGTCTTGTGACAAGAGTCAGAACCATCCCCAGGGAGGAGCAACTTTCTTGTGGCTGACAAGGCCTCACAGGCCAATCCTGAGATAATGATCAACAAACTCAGTGGGACTGAGGCTGTTGGACTTTGCCTACTTCTTTCTCCACCCACTCTCCTTTCCTCCCTGTGTAATCCTGAAGCTCTAGTCAGTCCTTGAAGATAGGACTGAGGACGCTTAGTCCCTCTGGTCCTTCCCAGTATGGCTCTACTCAATAAATTCCTATTCCACCATCACTTTTCCACTTGGTTTGGGGGCAAGTGACCAGGCTTGGTGTGGTGGGACGCCTCCTCCTGACTCAGGCTGCTGCTCCCAGCCTAGGTCTCGGTAGTCCTGGCAGGGACTCTGAGATGGTTCTGTTCCTCCTAGGACACCCAGGCTGTCCAACTGCCGCAGTCTGGCTGGGCACAAAATCACGAGCCACTCGCAGCCTTGTAGATTCAAACAGCAGTTCTTTATTCCCGAACTCACACCAGCACTCTATACATGTCCTGGGGGAATTCAGGTTCTGGGCAAAATCCCAAATACTCTCTGAATCCCACGAGAACTCAACAGGGACTCAACGAGCAGGCGCGCCTGAGGCAGCAGGACACGCCCTATTCCCAGCAGGGTACACCTTAAACCTGGAACTGCCCTAAACCCGGATTGTCCTAAACCAGAACGCCCTAAACCCTATCCGCCCTAAACCCGGATCCGCCCTGGTCCTTGAGCAAGGTCACCTTACATGCAATATCACTGCAAATGAACTGGGTCATGCCATGAGTCATTCTTACTTAGCAATGGCCCTCAGCATCCAACACTTCATTTGAAACCTGGGTGGAGGTGGCCAGGCCGCACAGCTCTGGCAATCCACACTCTGAAGAGTTGGCACCCCCTGGACGCTGCCAAAGGCCATGGCTCACACCTTCCTGCGAGACAGGCTGAGTCTGCCTGGACCTCGTGAGCCACAGCCAGGGCTGCAGAGGGGGTGCCACACTGGAGGTCAGGAGCACAGTCCCAGGGCAGCACCAAGGGGCAAATGCTGAAGTCCACAGAGCGTCTCTGGAAACCGAGCCTCGGGTGGTGCTCTGGGAGGGAGGGGCCGCTGGAAGATTTTGAAATATCTTCAAGGTCTTTCTCTCATTGTCTTGATGATCAGCTCCCTTCTGTCCAGGGTAATCTCATCCTTGGTTTATTCTCCCAAATAGGCTTTTCCTAATTTTTTTTTTCATTCTGCTGCCTTTTAATTACGAGTTCCCTTCTTTAAATAATTTCTGTCTTCTCTAAATTTACTCAATGCTGTTAAAGTAGCAGGGAAGCTCCTTCAATGTTTAACTGCTCAGGAATTTCTTGTGTCAGATATCCTGGTTTGTCACTCTTAACTCCTGCCTTCCCCCAAATCCTAGTCACAGACACAATTCTGCCAAGCTCCTTGCAACTACATGACCAGGATGACCCCTGCCCCAGATTCTAGTACTTTGTTCCTCATTTCTGTCTGAGACTGCAACAGCATAGCCTTCATTGTCTGTATTTCTAACCAGCGTTCTGGTCATGGCCACTTCAGTAATCACTAAGAAGATTCAGGCTTTCCCTACAGCTCTCCCTCCTCCTAGGCCCTCACGGTAATCCCTCTTAATGCTCCATTTATGGCAATCTAGACCTTTTCAAGCCTGGTCCACAAATCTTCCAGCTTCTACCTCTTAGTCAGCCCCAAAGCCACTGCTACATCTTCAGGTATTTGTTATAGCCACAGCTCCACTTCTCAGTACCACTTTTCTGTCTTAATCCATTTTCTGTTGCTATAATAGAATGCCCAGGCTGGGTAAGTTATAAACAATAAAGTTTATTTGGCTCACTTTCCTGGAGACCGGGAAGTCCAAGATCAAGATCACATCTGGCAAGGGCCTTCCTGCTGCTTCATAACACAGCAAGAGGGTAAGTGGTTTCACCTTCCATTACTATCCCAGCGGCAAGCAAATTTCACCATGAGTTTTAGAAGGGGACTGTTCACCATAGTGGAGACTGACAAGTCCCCAGGTCTGCAGGGTGGGCTGGCACACTGAAGTCCCAGGAGAGCCACTAGTATAGTTCTAGTCTGAGACCAAAGGCCTGAGAAGCAGAAATGCTGAGGGTGAAGGTCCAGTGTAAATGCCAGTAGACGTGAGACCCAGGAAGGGGTCATGTTTCAGTCCAAGTTCAAAGTTAAGGAAAAGCAAAAATCAATTATACTTCTCACTAGCAAGGGATAATCTGAAAATGAATTTAGGAACTCAATTTCATTTGTTTACAGCATCAAAAATAGTAAAACACAGAGGAACAAATGTAAGAGGTCTGAGATGTATGTGCTTAAAACTACAAAACATTGCTCCAACATGAGAACAAATCAGACCATTCACATTTTCAGATTTCAAAACTCCCTACAAAGTATAGTAATCAAAACTTTGTGGTACTTGTGTAAGGACAATGTAAAACAATCATATAGACATGATGGCACAGGAATAAACCCGTCCATTTAGGGTCAATCAATTTTTGACAAGATATCAACATGATTCACAAGGAAATATCTTTTCAACAAATGGTTCTGGGACAAGTGGATAGACAGGCGCAAAAGAATGACGTTAGACCCAACCTCACACCATATGTAAAATTCAAAATGGGTCAAAGACCTGATTCAAAAGCCAAAACTATAAAAACTCTTAGAAAACAACACAGACATAAATCTTGGTGATCTTGGCTCTGGTAATTTATTCCTGGATATGATACCAAAAACACAGGCAACAAAAGCCAAAACAGGACTTTTCAAAAGAAAAAATATATAAATGAAACTTCATCTAGCGTAATTACTTTTATGCTTCAAAGGATAACAACAAAAAAAGTGAAAAAGACAATCCACAGAATAAGAGAAAAATTTTGCAAATTAGATATATGATGAAGAACTTACATCTAAAACATATTACTAGATAACAAAAACACAAATAGCCAATTTTAAAATGGGCAAGGGATCTGTATAGATGTTTCTCCAAAGAAGACAAACAAAATGGCCAATTAAATGCATGAGAAGCTGCTAATATCATTAGCCATCAGGGAAATTCAAAGGAAAACCATAACGTAAGACTTCATTTCACACCCACTAGCATGGCTATAATAAAGAAGACAGATAAAAACAAGTATTGATGAGGATGCAGAAAATCAGAACCCTCAGAGACCCATGATGAGAATGTGAAATGATGTTCCACTTTGAAAACTAGTCTGAATAAATACAGAATTACCACAGGACACAGTAATTCTTCTCTGAGTATACATACTCAAGGGAAATGAAAGGTTATGTCCTTACAAAAACTTGTATATGAATATTCATGAAAGCATTATTCATAGTAACCAAAAAATAGAAACAGCCCAAGTGACCCACGGCTCTTGATGTATGGTAGAGACAAAATGTGCTTTATCCATACAATGGAATACTATTTAGCCATAAAAATGGATGAAATACTGACTCATGACGACTAAAGGGAAAGAAGCCAGACCACACATTGGATTTATAGGAATATCCAGAATAGGCAAATCCATAGAAATAGAAAATAGATTAATGAATGCCAACAGCTGTAGGGAGAGAAGACTGGGAGAGATTGCAAATTGTTGTGGAGTCTCTCTTTGGGGTGATGAAGATGTTACACGTTATGAATAAATTCAAAGCCACTGAATTGTACAGTTTAACATAGTGAATTTTAGAGCACATGAATTAGGACTCAGGATTTTTTTGGGGGGCTTTTTGTTTGTTTGTTGTTTGTTTTGTACCAGAGTATTTAAACACTGAACCACATCCCCAGACCCCCCCTGGTTTTTAGGTTGTCATTCTTTTTAAATTTATTCTAATTTGTTATATATGACAGCAGAATGCATTTCAATTCATATTACATATATAGAGCACAATTTTTCATGTCTGGTTGTACACGTGTGTTCATACGTGTACTTAGGGTAATGATATCCATCTCACTCCACCGTCTTTCCTACCCCTTGCCTCCTCCGTACCCCTCCCTCCCCTTTGCCCTATCTAAAGTTCCCCCATTCCTCCCATGCTCCACACCCCACATCCCCATTTTGAATCAGCATCCTTATATCAGAGAAAACATTCAGCACTTGTTTTGGGGGGATTGGCTTAATATTATATTATATTTTCTAACTCCATCCATTTATCTGCAAATGCCATGATTTTATTCTCCTTTAATGCTGAATAATGTTCCATTGTGTATATAAACCACATTTTCTTGATCCATTCATCTAGTGAAGGGCATCTAGGTTGGTTCCACAGTTTAGCTATCATGAACTGTGCTGCTATAAACACTGATGTGGCTGTGTCCCTGTAGTGTGCTGTTTTTAAGTCCTTTGGGTATAGACCAAGGAGTGGGAGAGTCCAACCCTTTTTTGTATTTTACTTAGAAACAGGGTCTCACTGTTGCTTAGCGCCTTGCTAACTTGGTTGAGGCTGGCTTTGAACTTGTGATCCTTCTGCCTCAGCCTCCCAAGCTGCTGGGATTTCAGGTGTGCTCCACCATGCCAGGCTAGGACTCAGTTTTTTTAAAAAGTTAATAAAAAACAAACTTTTGATGAAAGCAAAAGCCCACATCTGGTCAAACAGGGAAGTGCAGTAAGATATTGACTTTGCAGACTCCAGAAGAGGCTTTGGGCAGAGATATACAGACCATTAGGCCCACTGTCCAGTTTTCTGACTTAGTGGATCTACGGAAGGACAAGGATCTTCAAATTCTTGTAACTCCGTGAGTGTCTCCATGCCCTCTCCTCACTCTATCCTAAAACATGGCTAAGACTGAACCTAGATTTCTTTAGGTCCCTGGTTTTGATGTTCAGGACTTCCCAGTTGTTAGAGGACAATGTCAGACATCAGGATCAGGAAACCCAGATGCCACTCATCTTTAATCATTTGTACCAAGTTTTATCTTCTATACTCTAAGAACAATGGCCACCCACTTCTCATGGTTCATGAAGAATACTTATGAAGAGTTTTATCACTGATGCTTCTTTTCCAGAACTCATGCCGACATCTCCACCATGTCGGTCATGTAGAGGAATTTCAAAGATGTTATTTATTTTCCCTTCACTACATCAATTTATGTGCAAACCCCCAAACCTTTAGGAATAAATAACTTTCTCTAGTAGTAGCTTTGAATTGTGTATAAATAAATAAATATAATTTAGATAAGGCTTAGTGTTGATTAGTCCAAAAGAAAATAAGATTTTGAATGAAAATTAGAAATCTCCTTCATCACCGAATGGCATTATGTAAGTGTGTTCTCACAGCCTCAGTCTTGGCCAGCGTTAGAACACGAACTCTCTGGGGTTGTCCTGAGAACAGTGGGTCCCAGAAAAAGAAGAATGACTTGTGACAAGAACCCTGAGGAGAGCCTCAGTCTGTTTCCATGATTTATGATCCTGCCTCAGTAATGACTCCCACAATTTGGTTCAGACCACAAGAGGCCGTATCTGACACGGTAGCAGAAAGATGGGCAGCCACCGTCCCGCACTATCTTGGGCTCACAAGCCACACTGAGCTCATGAATCACCTTCCTTCCCTGCAAAGTTCTCAGCTGCTTCATTCCAGGAGATGAGTTTCCATCTGTGGCCAGGAACCAGGGCCAGGTTAGGTAAGACCTGAGTTGGCTCCAATTTCCAAAGACAGTCAACCTCAAGGAAGCGTGCTGCATACCCTCCCAGGACTATAGGGTTGATTTTTTTTAAAAAAAGGCCAGTGTTCCCAAGAAAAACCCCTTCAGATTCATGAGTGGCTACTGACCATTTCTAATAAAACAATTGCTAATACACCTGGGTTTGGGAAGATGGGCAGAAAACCAAGATTAACCATGAAGGTGACCTGTGAAATTCACTAACCACCTGTCTCCGTAGGTAGGTCGGTGTGGAATGGCCTGCCAGAGGGAAAGGAGAGGGTGACTGACCCCTCGAGGTTCTCTGTCTTTGCCTACTGTAGGTCCCAGTGTTGGGGAACTTGGTGTAAGTATTGTTTTGATAACCAGCACATTCTTCTGCCCCTTATCCCAGAAGCAGTGGTGCCGGGGAGTGTTCCAGCAATGAGCAAAACAGAGTCCCTGTCCTCGGTGAGCTTACATTATCATGTGGAGAGACTCCAGATAGCCCTGGTGAACCCTATGAGGAAGACAAAACAGCCCAAGAAGGAGCAGCCACTGAGGTAGGAGGAAAACCAGGTGATCATCGTTTCATAAATCCTAGAAAACAGAGTATTTCAAGAGTGAGGAGTTACCAGCCATGTCAGGCTGCACAAGTGAAGAGAGGGACAGAGTTGACAGCTGGCTTCTGCTAAGTGATGGTGATTGGTAATCATCTATTTATTTTGGTATTGGGGATTGAACCTAGAGGTGCTTCACCACTAAGCCCTTCTTAACCTTTATTTTTAATAAAATTAAATTACTTGTTAATATTTATTAAATTATCATTAATAACATTTATAATAGTAAAAAATTTAATATTATTCTGAGACGGGATCTCACCAAATTGCTGAGGCTGGTCTCAAATTTGCAATTCTCCTGCCTCACCTTCTTAAATCGCTGGGATTATTGGTGTGTGCCACTGAGTGGGGTGTGATTTGTAATCTTGATAATTGTTTTAGCAGGCTGCTGTAACCAAAAACCCAATCAAAATGGATCAAAGAGGGAATATGAGGACCATAACTAATCCTTTGGAGTAATATTGATCAAAAAATAGGTGGAAATCCAGGTGCGGTGGCACACACCTATAATCCCAGAAGCTGGGGAGGCTGAGGCAGGAGGATCAAGAATTCAAAGACAGCCTCAGCAAAAGCAAGGCACTAAGAAACTCAGTGAAAATACAAAAATACAAAATACAAATGGGGATGTGACTCAGTGATCAAGTGCCCCTGAGGTCAATCCCCAGTACCCGCTCCTCCCCCCAAAAAAAGGTGGAAAAAGAATAAAGTGAGGGGAAATGTAAAACAAGGAAGGTTTTTCCTAAAATATATTCTATGAAGCCATGTTTGTATGCTTAGGAAATAATGTAGAAGTAAAAGGGAACTTAATTTAGGAAAGAAAGGGGATTGTTTTAGAAATAAAGTCTTTGAGGAGGTAAGAGAGGGTGGGAATAGGGCTCAAGAGGAGGAGGCCCAGGTAGAGGGCACGAGGAGGCTGGGCCTGGGGCAAAAGCTGGGCTGCTGCTCCTTCATGTTAACAGATGGCTCCCTGCACAGGATGCCCACAAACACGTGTGTGTGTGTGTGTGTGTGTGTGTGTGACAGAGAGAGAGAGAGAGAGACTGACTCGTGGCAGCATGCTCCCATGCTGCTCTGCATCTCGTGTTGAACTTCCCAGTGGTGTGAGTTTGCTCTTCTGGACTTCCTTGTTCTTCTGACAGCTGCACCGTGTCGCCTTCGGTCACTCCACCACATTTACTTCTAATCCTCTATTAACAGACATTGGTTGTTTCCAGTGTTTTCTGGTTGTGAATAATGGTTTCATGGATGTACAAATGTGCTAGTGTACCTGCAGAATGAATGACTAGAAATGAAATGGCTGGCTCAAACAGGATGAACATTGGGAATCTTGAAAGCTATTATCAAATTGTGACTGATTTATCCCAACTTATTAACCCAAATGTACATTAGAGTTCTTACTTCTGCCTCATCGATTCAGTGGTATAATATTAAACACACATTAATATTTGTCAGTCTCATAGGTGAGAAAGTATATCTCAGAGGTCTAATTTGCACTGATCTTACTATACATAAGGTTGAGCAACATTTCATGTCTAAAACCCATTTGTTTCCTTTTCTGTGAGCTTTCTGTACTTGTCTTATTTTTCTATTGAGTTACTGACCTTTTTTCAAAACAGGAGTTCTTTATGTATTAAGGATTTAGAGTTTTACCTATTATATATGTTGCAAATATTTTCCCAATTTGTGGCATATATTTTAGTTTACTTTTAATGCATCAAATTTCATGAATTTATATAATTTATATAGTTTCATATTTACTATGTCATTTATACATTCTTTTGTCTATTATGTGAGTCCATGTAGTCTACTGCCTTTTTGTATGGTGTCTAGGTTTGTGTCCTGCTTAAAAGGTCTGCACTCTAAAATGATAAGAATAGATAAGAATGCTGGTTTTCAAGTTGAAGCCTTTGATGTATGTGGGATTTATTTATACTAAGAAATAAGTTAAGGATCCAACTCAATATTACGACTACCCAGATTCCTAATGCCAGTTATTTGTTAAAACCATCTCAATTGTTAAACTAAACTCCCTAACATGCCGTGAGAGATAGCGTTAAAGAGAAAGAGCACGCATTCAAGTAATTGTTGAATGAAAACAGAAGAATTCATGGACTAAACAGAACACTAGGAATGGGAGCTTTACAGAATAACCACTTAACAAAGAGGTGGCCCCTGTCGCCGTCTTCCTCTTCAACCCAGTTTACACTCTTGTCTTGTGGGCAGGCCCTCCTATGACTGAGGCTTGCAGCGTCTTCAGGGACTTCGGTGATCCTCATCTTCAGTCCGTGCACTGATACCCCTGGCTGCCGGGTCTTCATTACCTGTGGGCTGTTCCCTTCTGAGCTGGGAAGTCCAAACATCCTGCTTTCTAACCACAGCCTCCCATCATCGGGCTCTGTGGTGCCCTAACCGCCAGCACACACCTTGGCCCATGCGCACCCTGGGCCTTGGCCTTCCTGGCCGTGCTCATCAGCCTTTCCTGCCTTTCCCATCTCTCCGCTCCAGTCATTCTGATCACGCTGGTCAGCCCCGAGTTCCTCGGGATGGGTTCTTTGGTTTTGTTTGTTTGTTTGTTTAGTCTTTTTATGCACCTGTCGGTCAAAACTCGACCCTGGATTAACATAAATGCCTTCTCCGTTTACTTTGGTGAGAAATCATTTACTATGGGGGAAAATATTGCATGCCATAAAACTGGTGCTCCTAAAAACTGACAGTCCCCACGCTCAGCTGTATCCTCAGCACAGCCTGACAATCATATTCATCTCTGTCCCTCTACTTAGGATGTTCCCACTCTCCTCTAGTCCCTTGCCTCTCCTCCATTCCCACAATGCCCCACCAGACAGTCAGGGGAAGTGGGGATCACTGTACTCTGTGTTGGTATAACAAAATCCCTGAGACTGGGTACTTTATAAAGGAAAGAGGTTTGTTTTGGTTCCCAGTTTCAGAGGCCCCAAAGCATGATATTGGCATCAACTTCTGTGAAGAGCCTCAGGGTAGATATGGAAGAAGTGAGAGGGGGCAGGAAAGTAAGAAATCAGGCTGAGAAAACCAAACCCTCTTTATAACAGCCTGCTCTCAAGATAACCCAACCAATCTTTCAAGTTGGGCACTAATCTCTTTCAAATGTGGTACCCAATGATCCACTAGCACCCCCTCCTCTTAAGGTTCCATGGTCTCTCAGTACCATCACATGGGGACCATGCCTTCAGCACAAGGACCTTGAGGGACAAAGCACAGTACTCTCCCTATTCTGCAGCTAAAGAAACTGAAGCCTTGGGCTGAGGCTGGGACTCGGCGATAGAGCACTCGCCTGGCAAGTGTGAGGCACCTCACAGCACCACGTAAAAATAAAAAAATAAAATAAAGGTAATTAAAAAAAGAAAGAAAGAAACCGAAGCCTAGAGAGGCCAAGACTGGACCAAGTGTATAAAGTTTTAAATCAGGGATTCAATAGAGGCCTATTAATTCTAAAACCAATGCTCTGAACCACAATGAGACACTGGCTTCCTGACCAAGCCCTGGCTACTGCCTGTAAACATCTCGTGTATCACCTCCCTCCCCAGCAAGGAAGTCTCGGGTAAGATTGTCGTTTCTTGTCCACGTAATTACAACGGCCTCTTAATTGGATTTCCTTTCCCCAGGACTAACCCTTTGGGTTTGTTATCTATACCATCACCAACTTCCAGAACTAAATCTAATCACGCGAGGCCCCTGCTAAAGATACCTCAGAGGCTCTCCACTGCCTCCAGGAGTCCACCCCAGCTCTCGGCCCAGTACACGGAGAAGCTCAGACCTCCTCCAAGGCCACTCCTCCCCTCACTCTTGCAGCCTGCCCCCCCACCTTTGTACGTGCAGCTGCCTGAAGGGCCCTACCCTGCCTTCTTCTGGCTGATTCAGCTCAGGCGCCATCTCCAGGAATGTGCCCACCCTCCCCCATCTGGAGAGCACGTTACCTTGGGTCCCATATTCCACGCCAGCCTTTTCAAAAACTCACCCTGCTACATCCTACAAGTCTGTTTAAAGACTGCCTCCCTGGAGGGGAGAAGCTCAGAGTTCAGGAGGCAAGACTCATCCGGAGACCCCACTTACTAGGCCTTAGGTTGAATCCAGGAATCTGAATTTTAGAGGTCCCCCAGGCGGTTCTGGTGCTGATGGTTCTGAGTTTCTACTTTCAAACAGTACACACGAGCTCCTTGATGCCAGGGGAATGTTCTCAAATGGCTGCACTTGCCTTGCGGCACCCTGGTAGAGTCAATGAATGTTCTCTTCAACAAATAGTTGTTAAAGGTTCATCAGGTGCCAGGAACACCCAGGATCTAGGATATAGACACGATTTTCAGTTTCACAGAGGGTACAAGGGCCCTGTTTGTGGACTGAATGAAGGAGGATAATTGAACCAGGTGAACCTTAAAAATCATTTGTTAAATGTGATTTGTGCCCCCAAAGTTCCTGTGTTAGTGGCTCAGTTCCCATGTGACAATGTGGGAGATGGTGAGACCTTTAAGAGGTGAGGCCTAGGGCCATGTCCTTAGGTGACTGGCCTTGGAAGGGAAGTGCCGCAGTCTGGCTGGGCACACAATCACGAGCCACCACACAGCTTGTAGATTCAAACAGCAACTCTTTATTCCCGAACTCACACCAGCCGTCTACAATCACGTTCTGGGGAAATCCACGTTCTCTGCCTAAATCCACATCCACTGGGCTTCTGTCTCCCAAAAAATACTGTCTGAATCCCGTGAGAACTCAAGGGGAACTCAGGCAGCAGGATACGCCCTATTCCCAGCAGGAATAATCTTAAACCTGGAACGCCCTAAACCCGATTATCCTAAACCAGGAACACCCTAAACCTGGATCCGCCCTGGTCCTTGAGCAAGGTCACCTACATGCAATGTCACTGCAAAATGGCCTGTTTCCACGAGTCCTTCCACTAAGCAACATGGGGT